ATCTTTCCCAGATTTAGCCCGAACGGGTGTTTATCTCGGTAAACCTGGTATCGCCTCCGTAGCGATGTGTCGCCAGTCGCTGCATGCCCCACGGCCTCGAATGAGATTGCACGAGACGCTTACGTCATCTCACCGCTACGCTGCCGCGCGCAGCTGAAATGCGACCATCTCGGTCGGCCAGACATAATTCCAGAACCGAATTTATTCGACGGACGACAATTCACGAGCGACGCATGATTGTGCCTTTGAAATACGTCGGATGGAAAATGTATCTGCTTTTGACGACGGTTTGTCCGGAAAAATTGGAGACGGGCTCTAGATTGAGGACGGTGGGTGCATATTAATGGAGGGCTGCTGAGTCGGATGGTGACCTGTGCCGGTGCTGGGCTGCAGCCATTCGGCCGTGCGGTCCTCACGAAATACTTGACATATTGCGGTGAGGCAAGCAGTCAACAAATTATGCCTATGTGGCATATGCTTTGCATAATTTTGAGCCAAAATGGTAGACTGGTTTTAGTTGCGTCTGTGAGGAGCAGGCGTTGCCAACATGAGCAAAGGTCATTCGAAAATCCATGTTTGGATTGGCATTTGTGATATTTTGTGCGTTTGATATCCCTGTAATTAAGAAAAGCAGCACATGCGCGGGAAATGAACCTCTGCTTCCCCCAGCGCGCGGAAATCCTGATTTACACAATAAGCGATGTCACACGCTACCCCCAGGTGGAATGCCCACACCGTCATCCCGTTATCGAAGCTTGCATTTATGATCTAAGTGAAAAGTAAAAGTCTACTGGATGGATAGAGCATACTCGGGGAAAGTATACTGGATGTGACATGGGCAATATGAAAGTAAACTATCTCATGGATGAAACTGATGGAGGTCCCTTGCATTTTGTAATGGTCTGTATCAGCTCGTCCTCCACGAAAACAGATAGAACTGAACACAGGGTTAAATGCTTTGTCTGGACGAACGTCCAGATTTATATACAAGCCTCAATTGCTTAGCTACTTTACAGTTTGTTATATTCTGTTGGATAATGATGCACTATAATCGATGTGCCCTGCAATGTGCTGATGCTCTCGTTGCACACAAAGCAGACTGAAATCATAGAACCAAAAATAAAGTAAGTATGAGAATATGATAATTTTGATTCGATGTCGCACATGACGTTCCTGCAACGTGGCTATGTGGCGAGGCAAGAACTGATATCAGGAATATGAAGTGCCATTGTATTGCTAGAGTAATGTATGCAGCTTTTACTCCACTTGTCTAAGCCTAGCGTTTGTTGCGCTCCCAAACAGTTGCGCTCCCGCCCGGTGCTTTGGTCGGTAGCACGAGAGCCCATCATCCCGTCCACACTGACCGCCCGGCCCCGTGCGCAGGAGGAGGACTGAGGGCAGCTGGAGACCCCAAGTTTCGCATCTCTCGAGGACCTACATGTAGAGGTGACAGCCTTCGCGCCACCGGCCGAGGCGTACGCGCGCATGGCCTACGCTCTGACGGAGGTGCGACGCTTCCTGGTGCCCGGTACGTAGCGCGAGCGGCTGACCGATCATGGCGCACCCATCGGTACGACTGCCCGTGACCTGTCCCCCACCCCCTGAAGCTTGTGCAATTCTGATCGTCTTCATATCTGTGTGCTTACGTTCATCGCAAGCTTGTGCGCGTTTGCTTCCCCCCGATATCCAGATGAGTGTAGTGTCTTCGCTCCCCCCATGTCGATACACTTATGTCTTTGACATTTACTTGCACTTCTCTCACTACATACGTGCGTCTTACTCATCCACGCGCTGCGCCCATACGGCCGTTTCATGACACCTTCTGTGTCTGGTTTCCTCCATGCAGTACCGTCCGTGTCTTGATACAAGAGACTCCACCGTCCGCTCAAGCCATGGTGTATTTTCCTCATGCAGTACGTCCGGTCTTGATACAAAGAGACTCCACCGTCGTTCAAGCCATGGTGTATTTTCCTCATGCAGTACGTCCGTGTCTGATACAAGAGACTCCACCGTCGCTCAAGCATGGGTTATTTCCTCCTCATGCAGTAGCGTCCCGTGTCTCGATACAAAGAGACCCACCGTCTTCTCAACCATGGTGTATTTCCTCATGCAGTACGGCCGTGTCGTGATACAGAAGAGATCCCACCGTCGCTCAAGCCATGGTGTGTATTTTCCTCATGCAAGTACGTCCGTGTCTTGATTACAAAGAGACTCCACACCGTCGCTCAAGTCATGGTGTATTGCTGTTGTGTCCACAAACGTGTGCGGGGGCAGGCTGATCAACCAGCCCCTATCCCCATGACATCATTGTATATGTCGTATCAGCAATATCGCTATCAAATCAGTCCCGTTGTTGGTGATCTTCTGGTGGCACCGTGGTGTAGGGAAATTGCTGGACTCGTAATCCGGCAGAAATGGGAACGAATCGCAGAGCGGGCGCATTGTTTGGCCCGACTGAAATGGAAAGGTCAGCTGGCAAGGGGCCAACGAGTGTCAATCCAGGGCAAGGGCGGCCGCGCCGTCGCATTGTGCAGCACTTAAAGATTCCGTCCTACTGTCAAGCCAAAACGGGGCAGGCAAAATCATCGGTTGGACCTGGCGGTGCGTCTCGGTTGGCGAGTTCAGGGTACACGCAACAAGTTATGCTTAGCAGACACTCCGAATACAAAAATCACCTTTGCAAGCCATTTGGAATACTTTAAAACACCTAGTGAGGGTTATCCATGGCCTGCCTTGTCCGCTCGCGATGACTTTGAATCTCCTAAAGTGTCTGATTAGAGCGTCGATTGCTTCTTATGTAGAGGTGGACACAGCCATCTTATTTGTCTTCTCGTGCTAATTTCAGATTAAAGTTGACATTTGCACAAGCCCTTAGCTAAAAGAAAGGGCTGGAAGCTTGTGTAAGTTTGAACTGGTGGTTTTAGTACACAAATACAGCATGAGTAGACGAATGAGACGACACAGAAAAACGCAAAACGGTCAAAATTAACATATGGGGTTTTACCTTCGGATGACAGAATTATCGGCTGCTCTGAAGGAGCCAGAAGCGCCCCGGCCCGTTGCACTGCAGGATGAATATTAGTCGACCGCAAGCGAGCGATCTCAACAGGCGGCAGCGGCGGAATGACGCCTGAAGAAAGGAAGCGCAAAGGCGCAGCGTGGAAAACCGGGCCATCCGGGCAGCCCGTGACCTGTCCAGCCAATATGGGTACCTGGCTCGACGCTCGCATCCACGGATTGTCCATGCGTTGTGCCGGGATGAGTCGTTCACAGCCACCGCGCCGAAGGCAAACAGTCCGCTCATCTGACACAGTTACGACACACAGAATACTGCCGCCGGTGCCCCACGGAGAAAACCAGCGGGCCACTGTTGAGTCCCTGAGAGGAGAGCACCGCACGAGATCGCCGGCCACCCTTTGTACCGAGTCGAAGCTGAAAGTGCTGAGTCGGCGTGCCGTAACGACGAGTCACGGTCGACAAGGACGCTGGCGATCGTCGGCAACTTTCTCCGGCGCAGCGTCGCGGCGACAGGGCCGTGCCTGTGACTGATGCCGGGCCACGGAACTGACTGGTGTCACAGGGGAGCGTGACTGGCGGCCGGACTGCCGGGACGGACGGAGAGATGCAGGTCTACACTGGAAACAGGCGAACTCTCCAGAGGCACAGTTTACTGGTGACCAGCGACTAGCTGCAGCCCTGGTGTGTGCAACCTCTCAGAATGCGTCGCGGTTTAGAGGATGCGCAGCTTATAGCCCTGGACTGCAGAGATCATCTTCACACAGCATATATCGAACTGATGCTTGAGAGCGTGCTGGACAGAAGTGTCGCCTTCTGAACAACATCCGAGTGTTTCCATGCCTGCAGTGAGTGCGCTCAACAGAGTCTCCCTGAGCGACGTCCGCCACGGTAACCGCTTCCGTTGCGTTCCAGACTACAACGACGAGATCCGCCAGGAGCAGATGCCGAGAGATGCAGCTCCTCAACGAGGGCGGGCGCCGACAACTGAGGGCAGCACCAGTAGTGGCAGCCCGCCGCTGCGGCCGGCCGCAAACGGAAGTCTGGTGCTCCGGTAGGCGTGCCGGGCCTGCTGCCGCACCCGGCACTGCGTGGACTCACCCCACGCTCCCAGACGGCCTCTCGCCCACCGGTACGTGCAGCTATCACCGCCAAAGGGCCCACGGCTCACCGGCGCTTGAGTGGGGGTTTACGGTGTCAAAGGACCGTATACCTAACTTTACCACTGGCAGCGTGTTGCCTCTTCCTACCTATCATATGACTGGCGCTCTTTCTGTCGGGCCACGACACCCTCTGTCCCCTCCATCCCTCTCCATCCCTCCTCTCTCTCCCTTCGTCTCCCTCTCTCCTCTTCTTCCGTTTGCCTCTCTCCTACCCTGTCTCCTCCCTCCTATTTTCTCTCTCCCTCTCTATCTCCCTCTTCTCTCTCTCTCTCTCTCTCTTCTCTTCTTCTCTATCTCTCTCTCTTTCTCTCGTTATCTTTCTCCCTCTCCATGTTCTCTATCTCTCTCTCTCTCGTCCCTTTCTCTCCCTCCTCTCTCTCTCTCGGTATCCCTCTCCCTCCCTCTTCTCCTCCTACCCTTTCTTTCTTCCCTCTCTCCCCTATCTCTCATCTCTTCTCTCTTCTTCCCTCTCTCCCTTCCCCCTCTCTCCGTTCTTCCTCTCTCCCTCTTCTCTCCTTCCTCTCTCTTCTACCTTTCTCTCTCCCTCCTCTTTTCTTTCTCCTCCTCTTCTCTCTACTCTCTCTCCCCCTCCTCTTTTTCTCTTCACTCCCTTTCTATCTCCTCTATCTCTCCCTCTCTCTCCCCCCTCTTCTCCTCCCTTTCTTCTCTCCTCTTTTCTCCTTCTTCCCCCCTCCCTCTCTCCTTCCTCTTCTCCCTTCCCCATTCCCCCTTTGTCTTCTCTCTCCCTTCTTTTTTTCCCCCTCTCCCTCCCTCCTTTTCTCTCTCTCACTCTCTCTCTCATCTTTCGTCTCGCTAACTCCCTCCCTCCCTCCCTCTCTCCCCTTTCTCTCTCTTCCATTCCCCTCTTCCTTCCTCCCTCTTTCCCTCTCCCTTCCTCCCTCTCTCTCTCTCTGTCTCTCTCTCTCCCTCCCTCTCTCTCTTTTCCTTTCTCTCTCCTCTCTTTTTCTCTTTCCCTGCCCCTCTCTCTCCCTCTTTCTTCCCTCTGTCTGTCCCTGTCTTTCTCTATCTCTCCTCCCTCTCTCTCCTTATCCCTTTCTCTCCCTTTCCCTCTCCCTCGCTCTCTCTCTCCTTCCTATCTCTCTCTCTCTCTCTCTCTTCTCTCTCTCCTCTCTCTCTTCTCTCTCTCTCTCTCTCTCTCTCTCTCTCCCTCTCTCTCTATCTTTCTCTTTCTTTCTGCTTCCTCTTCTTTACTTCTCTCACCAGATATTTTTGCACGCCAAGTGTTGTTTAGTGTTCTGTTGTTCTACGTTAATAAATTCAGTTATCCCGCTTATTAGTACCGAGTCTGCAGATTATAGCTGAAGCCGCGCTCCCCATCCCACTATGAAAATTGCAGCTAGCAAATTGTAAACTCTCCGTCACCGTCTAAATTTCCGTCATATCAAAATGCTCTGGGAAAAGGTCTTTTGTTTCGTCTTTTTATTTTCCTTTATTTTCTTGCCAGAGAGTGGCCCAAGCAGCGCGCGTGCAATGTGTTCAGAACTCAATTTGAATCATTCCGATGGCTAAGCCCAGTATCCATCATGCCATAAATATCTGTCTAAGTCTCCTTAAAACTTCTTGATCACCTTGGCGCTAAGGCTGAATCCACACAGCCCCAGCAATGATCGAGAAAAGCCTCGGGCTCGAGGGGCTTAGTGTCATATGAAAACATTGTGAAATGTTGTTATCCATGATTTGAAGCTCACGATACCCCTAGCAAATAGGATATTTCTATTAAACTACATTTAATATGACATTACACTATCATTTACGTCTTGCTGATCCGATCGGAATTCGATGTATAGGCTAATGCTGGGATGACGTACAGATAAGCGTGTATGTACAGGCTAATGGTGGGATGACATGCAAATAAGCGTGTATGTACCGGCTAATGCTGGGATAACATACAGATGAGCGTGTATGTACCGGCTAATGCTGGGATGGCACACAGATAAGCGTGTGTGTACAGGCTAATGCTGGGATGACGTACATCTAAGTGTGTATGCCTGCCAAACGCATTCGCTAGTTGGATGGTTGTATTAATATGTATCTGATTTTTAAAGAAAATTATGCAGCGTTGCAGCAATAGTGCAGCATAATGCAGCAGCAGATTTACAGCAAAATGCTGCAAATCTCTTGCTTCACTTCAACGTCACTATGCACTAAAGCTCAGTTTAGTGCTAGATTCTGCTGACAACACGGAATTACTACATAATAATTCCTAGCTGCATGAAGGAGGGTACTAAGACGTGGTTGAGCTATAGAAATGCCGTGCAGAAATCTCATCTGAAACAGCATCGCAGCTTTGGAATGTTTTCAAAACTGAGCTTGGCGATACTGCAGGGTGTGCCCATCTTTTGAGATGGTCTGAGGCTGTTGCCATAGCGGTGTATGAATAATTATCTTTGCATACTATCATGCACTCACAGTCGAGCCTGTAACACCAAAGGGATGCTTTCAGCCTGAAATGTATGATTTCCGTAAGACACTGATAGCCTGAGAGACGCCAAGGAATGTTTTACGTTGTACTGTTTCGCATATTTCCTTATCACTGTTTTTCTCAGCCCGGCAACAGATATTCATCTAGCATGTATTTACATAAAATTCCCAGTTTGTGGAAATCGCTTTGAATGTTCATTGTGCAACACTGACCAAAGCAAAAGTTTCACCTTGTCTGTCTCTGAAGTCAGTATCGCAGCGGGACTGCGCCGCGTGCTTCTCCCGAGTTGCCGTGAAAAATGTATCGCCCGCCGCGGCTGCAGGGCCGACGGCTCGCCGGCGGCGCTCGCGTGTTTACCCTATTCAAGCCGGGCCCGGGTCGCTGGGACGGATGCCACAAACTTCCGACCCGGAAGCGACGCCGCTCGGCGGCCGCGAGCCGAGACCGGCCGGCGCCGCCGGGCCGTCACGTGCCGCGGCCGGCCGCCTCCGTCCGGCGCCGGCCGACGCTCGCCGGCTGTCGGCCGCCGGCGCGCCCTCGGCAGATCACATCTGAAGCCGGCCGGCTCTCTGATGACCCTTTATTGGGGCGCGGGATCGCGTGGCGGCGGCGCTGTGTGCTGCAGGAGGCGGGGATGGGGCGGGGAGGCTCCACGCGGCCGGACCGGACGTGGCCGCCTCCGGGGCGGCGGCCAGCTCCGGGCCGACTTCACAAAATCCGTCGGATCAGTGGGCCGGCGGGGTGCTCTGCCGCCGCTGTCGAGAAGTTGGACGGATTCGAGGACGTCGAGCGGCGGGAGGGCCTTCGGGGCCACTCGCCGTCGGCCGCCGGGGTCATTAGCTGCTGGTCAGTGGGACTGACGGCGCTGGCTCCGACGCATTGTCGGCGGTGCTTCTGTGGGGTGATGGCCGTTCCCACAAAAAAAGTCAGCTGTTGTTCATCGAAGCCGTGAGCTGCAGTACTATGGGCATTTTAAATGTGTTTGGCGGGGCTGTTAGGTGTGGTCATGCCTGGTTTCTAGCTGCACCGGACTGTCTAGTGTCTAACTGCGACTTAGCGAGCTGAGAACTTTGGTTCTGCGAGACTGTCGGCAGTGGTCTGCCTGAACATTAGCTGCCGCTCCACCGCAACGTCAGCCTTGGTTTTATTTTACTACCAGCTGACCAGCTTCCAAAAATTCCGTTGCTTGTCTGGGTGTTACAGAAGGGTTCTGTACGCCACGTGAAGATGGATGTGGGCACTGCCAGTGGCCAGTTCATGGTTGACGGACAGCACACAATTTAAACAAGCTGAATATTCACAAGGCTTTCAGATGTGAGTCCGTGTAACTGCGAGCTGAAGCTCGGGGGATCGTCGGCCAAATTCACTGAGACCATCGCCTGGTTTTCGTTGTCTGCGAGGAGCGGAATGGCCGGAAGGGACTTACACTTACTCAGTCCTCTTCTTCTTTTTCGATCACGTGATTTATGATCGAAACAGCTGGTGACGATTGCGCTCGTGTTACGACGGCCATTGGGCAAGCCGCAAAAAGTCCGTAACGACAGCAGAAATATCCACTAAAAGCATATCGAACCTATCCGCTGGCCCACAGCATGCTATTTAGACCTCTTCCGCATGGTAATTGCGATCGAATTAAATCGTAAAAGCGAAACTTGTCAGCCAGCAGCAGTTGCTTCGAATGCGAATAGCTGGTATCTCCTGCAACGATGGCACTATCTCCCACATAAAACAGCTATCTGGAGTGCTCCCGGCGGAGAAACGGCCCATCTCCTCAATGCGCTTCGGAAAACAGCCATCTTTAAAGCGCGTGGCTTGGAGAGCGATTTTCAAAGAGCGTTTTTCAGCGCCGGCCGGGACGCCCAGCTCGCCTGCGGTGCTTACGCATCCAAGCGCGGCGGGGAGGCGGCTATTTTCCGTGCGACCGGCGCCATCGGCCCGCTGTCCCAGAGGGCCCGCGGTCCCCTCACCTTTACTGCTCGGCGGCCGGGCCCGACCAGCCCCCGGGGCCCTGCGCGCACCGACCCGGCAAGATTGGACGTGTGCCGCAGCCATGGCCACCCCAGGGGAGCGGGCCCCGGCCGAAATTGCATGTCGCCCGCGATCGCGACTCTCATCCTTTACGTGACAGGGTGGTGTGGTGCCTCTCACCGCGGTCGCGGCCGCGGCCGCTGGCTCTCTGGCCCGCGGCGAATCGGCTCGGCCTGGCCGGCGCAAGCGCCCCGAGTCCGCGCAACAAGCTGCACCAGCGGGCGGGCGGGGCCTCGCAATGACAGTCAAATGTTTCCCAGTTCAGAGAAGGCTAGCAGTAGTGCTTGACTGAGAAGAAAGGTTTTTGAACCGTCTCAAGGCTCTCTGTCTGTGTCAAGGGCTCAAGGCTGCCTCGTCTCTCATGGTGCGGGCGGGAAGTAAGGACAGGCTTACGAGGAGATGGACAAATTTTATGTAGATACATGTAGATACATGCATTTATATATGCTGACCAAAGACTAAACAAATATGACTTTACTGGAATTTCACGCGCCTTTCCTAAAGAAGTAAAGTGTACTTATATGTGGGTTACCAAAACAGTTCGAAGTAACTGCGTATGATATTGCATAAGCGAAAAGTACATGCCAGTGAGGAGTAGGCATTTCCATGATGACACGTACCAAATATTACAACACATTTCCTAAACACTACGTCGATTTCACCACTCGTTTGGATTATAATGAACCCATGGGCTTAAGAAAATATCCGAGCAAAACACAATGATGATTGTTTAAAGTTTCGAGGGATGTCATTGGGCCGTACTCAGTCTTGTTTTCATCCACCTACTATCTGACATCTACCTTCTTTGTCTTACTGAAGACAAAGAAGGGTCTACTTTAGAACAAGCTGGGTCTTCTTTAACTTACTGGATCTACTTCATCTTACCGTATCCGATATATCTATCATAACAGGTGCCTTACTGTATCTAGACACCTCATCTTGGTGGATACCTTACTCCGCCTTAGTTCCCTTGACCACCTTCTTAAAAGAGTGTTCTTGGTTCTTTATTTGACGATAATGATATGGAAGGTCGGCTGATTTTTTCTTGGGGCACAAAATGTCCGTGTCATTTTCTTCCTTCAGGAGGAAACAGCTGTTTGTTTGCTAATTTAATACCACAATGTTATTGACATAAGTTTTAAACAAATCAAACCACGTAGATAGGTGAAAAGAATCATAGATAGGTGAAGCTAAAGGCGTTTTTATTAAGGCGCTGCTATCCTGCTTCCAACATATAAGATAGGCGTCGTGTTCATTGCGAATGGCTTGCCATTATGCACCAGAGGGGATCGTTAAAGATAACAATTTTAGACTGCAGCGAGCAATCTTTTCCTACGCGGCCCTCAAACTTCTCCCAACTGCCCGGCACAAGTGGCCGTCGTCTTTGATGCCAGTTTAATATTTGCCGAGTCGAACTCCTGCAGAGAGGAAGACCTCATGCTGACAAATCGGGCTGCAATTTTGAGTTGTCGAATGGCCAACTCATTAAAGTGCCGATGAGCGGCGGGATGTGCCCGTGGCGAAATTGTCCAATCGCTCGGCCGCTTACGGCGAGGCGTCTCAGCGCTGCAGCGGCGGCGGGACATCACAGATGCTGGACGATATCGGACAGCACCCTCGTCAGCGATAGACGGAGCAATCTCAGGCGTCGCGTAGCAGTCCCAGCCGCGCTCCTCGCTCACGGCGCGCCTAAGTCCGCGCACAGCTGCCACGAGCGCGCGGACTCCCGAAAGTTCTCTTCCGGGCATGAACTGGTCGGTGGGCAAAGTCGGCGGTCCGGTGACCTTCTGCATACGAGGCCCCGCCGGTGGACGAGGTCGGTGGCCCTGTCGCCTTTTGCGGGTCCCGTCACGTACCAGTGCCATGGAGGAAACTGAGTGGGACCCCAGAGACCAAACAGGTGACCTGCACTCGGATCCCTTGGGCATGGCTGGACTCTCCAGCCGTGCCCACAACGTATGGGTTTTTCTCCAGAGCAATACACTTATTACTTAAAGGTCGTGGAGGCATGCTTCGATGGAGAGGCGCAGCCGGTGGGCGGTTGCAGAAGGGCACGCATGGGCACATGCGCACGGCGTATGAGGCGAGTCCGTGGCAGCGGTGGAACTGACCTGACCCAGATGGCGACGGAAACACTGCTAGCTTTTAGCTAAATTTTGCGGGCTACTGATGTATCACAACGAATCTTAGTTCGCTGTAGACTCACTGTTTCGCGACGAAGGGTGCTAGCCTGCTGGTCTTTGAGCTTTGTGAACGTTTACGAGACACGGTGCTGTAGTCTAAAATCCCTGGGAGCTCCACCTGCGAGGTGATGCGCGCCTGCCTGGGCTTCGCGCCATGCGTCCTGGCGCCATGACGGGCCGCCGTGAGCCCCGCTGCTCGGCTACAGCGAGTGCGTGCCGTGTTTCAGTGGACCAGGGTCCGGCAATGGGCCGGCTGAGGTCGGCCGGGCTGCTGCCGCTGCCGGCCCCGCAGCCCACCGACCTGCCCAAGCAGCTGCCGCCCATGACCGGCGACGTCGCCGACGAGGCCGCCCACGCGCAGCACCAGTTCATCGAGCTCTGCAACAACATGAACGGCATGGGCGGCATCAACGGCTACGATCTGCCCGGGTGAGTGCGGTGACGGAGTCGGATCGGGAGTGCAGCTCGCTGTTCTCGGAAATGTCGTACTCGGTGGGCGGCGGACCCGGAAGTGATGTGCGCGTCACACGTGGCGAGGAAGCCATCTGGATTCCTTCCGAGCTGGCCGGCTAATGTTCCATAGGGCACTAGATCAGTTCACGCGCGCACTGAAGTTGGATTCTACACGGAAGGAGATGGTCCGTAGATCGAGGGCAGGCCCATGACTCGATGTGTTTGCGGTCGACAAACCGCCCTTCGTCACACAGGAAGTGTGTAAAAACATGTCTGCCTGTGGTGTGAAACTTACTTTATTTTCAGTGCCCTCCTTGCATACCCACTTAGTTGAAACAAATCATAAGTCAAAAATAGCAGCCCTTCAATAGATATAAACACATGAGACCAATAGAAATCGGCACTCGCACTGCACGCCCCTCAGGACAAGTGGACAGTAACAAACATTGACATAAACAAACGACTGTCTCGAAAATAGACAAATCACCCACAACACCTAGTCAAGATGAAGCGTCTTCCAAACAAACAAGCATCTACTGCAAACTAATCCTTGTTTTCGCTCCACCTGATCGATTGCAAGTCCTACTGAACGATGATGCTGATTTGGACTCCCAGCAACAAATCATCAATTGGAACCAAACCCGATTACGACTGAAAGATACATGCTCCAAGTCCCGAAGGGATTTGAACGGAGTTGGTAACGGTGATAAAAAATTAGGGAGTAAACCGTTCTACACGCCACATAAAAGTCTGCACAGCTCCAATGCTTGAAAGCAAGGCGCGCTATACCTAGTGTCCAACACGCGTGATATTCAATGGATATCGGAGTGAAAATATCTGCTGTTACTTACATCTCTATATGAATCGATTTACACACATGTTGAAAGGAATCAACTCCACCTTGGTCAAATAAAAAATGTGTTTATTACCATGTAGGCCTTGACGTTACCCGGATTCAAGCACGAGTCTGTAGCACAAATCCTTTTCCTTTAAATTAACGCAACGATTAACGAGCCGTCAAATCATAGCGACCTCCAGATACATTCAGACATTAAGCAACTCAGTTCATGCGTGTGGTTGTCGGCATTCGGCACTGGGGCGATCAATGCAAGGTCGGAACGGCAGGTGCTCATGAGCCATTTCTCGGCGGACTGTCTGGCCCGGTCTGATGTCAGGAAAGCCACGTGGCCACAATTGTTCGTCCCGCAGCCGAATGACACTCAGTGCAATTGGGTTGAAGGCAACTGTCCACGGTCGCTCGTATTCGAGCTGCACTTGCCGATGACGCCGGGGTAGAGGGGGAGAGCACTGGGCGACATCGGCAGGGATGGTGCCGGGTCGCCCACTGCTCTAACCATCATCGGCAGCGACGTTGCCCTCTGGCAGGCACCGGCCCAAGAGGTTCCTGGCAGCTGACAATGCAGAGAAAAATGAGAACCCTCTGTTGGCCTTGCATGCAGCGCCTGTAACGTCAGCCAGAAGACACCGCAATCGTAATGGACACCACCGTTCATTCTTTGGCAGTTGTTTTGCTCTCAATGCAAATCTTCAGAAGTTTTGTGTAGCGGCATGGCTTGAATAATGGGCTCTGGGTTGAGTGCACCGATATTTGGGAAACCTAACGTCGAATTAATAACAGTGTATACGAATGGAGAATATCCCTGAGCCCCCACCCTATGCTGGGCGCAATTCCTGGCATATGACTAACCACTGCGCATGTCCTTGCAACACTTCGAGCTACAGCATGCTCTCAAATGCTGACGAAGCTCTTCCACAGTCGTGCAGTCATTTGCAGCTGCCACAGCCGGCACTGTCGCAATGTCCGCCGCGGCAGAGCGGCCCAGCCCACATGTCCAGAGTCCCTCCCGTCTGCGGCCGGTGCTGACCTCGGCCTCGCCCGGCTGTGTTTCACCTCTCGAGAGTCCCTCCCGTCCGCAGCCGGTACTGACCTCGGCCGTGCCCTGATGTGTTTCACCTATCGAGAGTCCCTCCCGTCCGCGGCCGGTGCTGACCTCAGCCGCGCCCGGCTGTGTTTCACCTGTCGAGAGTCCCTCCCGTCCGCGGCCGGTGCTGACCTCGGCCGCGCCCGGCTGTGTTTCAGACTGGGGCTGCTCGACATCACCCGTCTCACCGCCCTGCCCGTCGGCCAGTTCGCCGACTTTTACGCCGCCGCCCAGCACACCCATGACCCAGGTAATGGCGGCGTCACGTGCGCCGGGACGCAGCCGTTGACTTCACTCGTCGTGTACGAACAATCCAGACTCACGGACCGGCGCCTCTGAAATCAGTGCTTTGCATTCCTCTCCCAGAGTCTCCGCCTCCTGAGCAAAGAATCCTGTGCTATTTATCCAAGAAGTGATGCCTGGGAATCTTACTCCGGACCTTTCCTCCAGCCTCATTTAGTAAACTTGTTTCACGCTCTGTTGTGCCAGCTGCAGTCAGGGAATAGCGCTAAATCCCGCAAACATTCTCGCGAGGCGTCTGCACGGCCCACAAAATGCGGAGGTAGATTGGAAATTCACGCGCGGGCTTGCAGCTTAAAACTTTCGCGTAGTTTCAGCCAAACTCAAACACTTTCTAATTCGCCAAGTTCATCTTCGTTTTCTCGCTGGGATTGCGTGGCACGTTATCAGGGGCTGCGAGCTCTCAGTGAGGACGACAGACCGCACCCCATTCTTGCTGGTGATAAGTCCGGGGACAGCGCGAGAGAGCGTGGGACTGCTGCTGACAAATCGCATCCGCGTAAGAGGCCGGGATGTTCCGCCGTCGTTGGCTATCGATGCCTGCCGGGCTGATGGACGTCGGGGTGCGTTAGCCGCCGGTGCCGCCACTGTGCGCCCCAGGGCCGGTGGCGCAGCCCATATGGCCACACAATGTCGGCCCTCCCGACCGCGTCCAAGAGCACAAACCTGTCTGAAAACAAACGCTGAGTAAGAGGCGGCCGGCGGCAGGGGACCCTCCCAATCGATGCGATGCATCTTCCAGGAAGGGGGAGGAAAAATACGCCCGCTTTTTGTGCGCGAGCCTATAATTGGAACAACATTATGAGGACATGCTGCGAAGCTCTTGATGCATTTGAATAAGAAGACCCTACTGGCACGGGTACATGCAGCTCGGTTGGTGCCCACGCTTCGGCATATTTCTCTATTCAGAGTACTGCTGAATGTTATAAATATGCAGCGTATTAAACAGCACTGCCGCGAACCGAAAACAGTCGATGCGCGGGGATGGAGCAAACCGGGCAACTTCAGCAACATTTAATCTGTCTGCGAGGCAGGCGTTCATTTTGTGGGACTTGCGGTATACATACAAACGATATACACGATATATAATATACAGTATACACCATATACGAATATACACGATATACGAGTATACACGAGTATACACGATATACGAGTATACACGAGTATACCCAATATACGAGTATACACGATATACTCGGCCGGCCCCTTGCAACCCTTGCTTATAGAGACTCCATGTCAGCTCAACTCGCTGGAGCGTCTACAAATCAAACGACCCGTCCAGGGGCCGTTTCAATGTCTGAAAGCGCCGACAAGTTTGGTAACGCGTCACCATTAGCCCAATGGCGCATTTTGACAGGCAGACCCCGAATCTGGTTCGTTTGATGACGTTGAGGGACGCGTCCTCCAAACTTTGATTAAGTTATAAACTAGACAGATTTAGTTCCATTCTGTTGCCAGATCATGTTTTACGCATGCGTCCGACCCCCGTTAGTTTCAGGCACGTTCCCTACAACAGTGATCTGTGATATAGTCGACGCCTACGCAACCACTTGACATGATTTTGTGCGTCCGTAGAAGTGTTACGCGGTAGGATTTGCTTGTAAAGCCGTGATCTTTGAGCTACATTGTGCCTTCAGGCATCATGTGCGGATTGATTTCGGCCTGCAGCCTAACGCATTGATTTAGGCCCAGGGCGGTCCCCTGACCGCCGACCTGATGTGTTCGCAGAAGCCACGCTCTGCCGGCCCGGTGAGCTCTCGCTGAAGATGGCCACCCACCACCCGAAGCTACACGTGCGGCACGACCCATACGGCCGCGTCCTCATGAAGACGTCCTAAGCACCGCGCCACAGCGCCTCATTGTCCGTCTACGAGCCGAGCGTGGCGCGGGCGTGGCGGCTCCACCGATTTCAAAACTCGCGTCCGTGGCGTGCCGGGGACGCCACGCGTCAAACTGAACACGTGGCACGTGCGTCAGCCGAAGGCGAGGACGCGCGCCGCCAGTTTTGGACGCGTGACGCGTGTAAGTGCGGGAACGGTGTCGCGGACGCGCTTCGTCCGGCGTGGACACGTGGCACGTGCCCGCGTGGAGACGTCATGGAGACCAGAGAGCTGCAGCCCTGGACACGTGGCACGTGCACGCGTGGAGACGTCATGGAGACCGGAGAGCTGCAGTCCTGGACACGCGGCACATGCACGCATGGAGACGTCATGGAGAGTGGAGAGCTGCAGTCTTGGACACGTGGCACGTGTAAGTGTGGAGCAGTGGAGAGGCGCACGAAGGGTAGTCGTTGTTTTGTACCTGTGATATACAGTGTAGAATCTGTCCGAGCCCGAAATAAATCAGCACGTAGTGGTAGCCTCACCAAAGCTGCGAGCGTTTGACGGTCTTGAGCAGAATACAAGCATGCAGAGTCATTCGTCCCTGACGGAGACACTCTGAAAATGAAGGCTCGTCTTCAGTCGATCTACTCGTAGTCCTCTGAGGACAAGCACCAACGACAACGGCACTCCGCCGCTCTGTGAGACCAGCACTCACTCGGACACGCTAGTCGACATACCGGGCATCGCTCGGTCGAGTTCACAATTTGACTGAGCAATCGACGACCGCCAAATATACCGGAGGTCGGCCCGACCGCCCGGCGCGGCTCATCAAAACGCCCGACGGACCATAACTTCGACTGCCTATTATATTATAATCGCCCGTCATTATGATTTAGCCGGGCTGGGAGGCACTGCTCATGATTAGTTGCGGACACTGTCCAACGACCTTAATGAAGCCACCATTCAGCCAAACTACACAATCTAAGCCATGCGGGCGAAGGGATACCACGGGACTACAAACCACTCCTCGGACTAAGCACGACTTCGGATGACTCTTCGAAATATAACCAGACGAAGTTGAGCCCGATTTTTCTGTGTTTTTCTTGACGCGTTGTGCAAATTGTAAGTATCGCGGTAGTTGGCATGTGCCAGTAGGTTTTCCTCTCTCTCCCTACCCACGTGCTTCAGCAGTCTAGACAGGGTGCCCACTGCGCCTCAGTTCTCAGTTGAGGCCGCTCTCAACATCATTATGGGTCAGTCAGTCCAGCCGTAATAAGTCAGTGTGCGATGAAAAACATCGCAGAGGCGCGTGCTCACAACGTGTTGTCAGCTGAACAACGGCGCATCCCAGGAGAGCAAAAGGGTCGCTGGCGAGCATGGCACAACGGCGCCTCCCGTGCACTCTGTTCCGAGCGCCCGTCGACTTGAATGACATCTGATGTTCAGCGTCAAGGTCAGCCTCATGCTCGGCTGTCGCACCCCGAGACGTCGGGAGGTGCGCACCATGAGCGTCACATCCAAATACAGTCCCTCGCTCCCTGTTTGGATGGTGCGGCGCTGCAAACCCGACAGCGGGCACTGAGAACGCCTGGCGCGGTCAACAGCCGTTGGCGGCGGCTTGTCCCACGTCCCATGGTTTGTCCGCCGCCATCAACAGCTGACCCACCTGTTGACACGCCGAGCGTCGGTTCTGAGACAGAGGCCACGCAACCCGTCGATGCGCTCGTCCTGCGTCCGACCCTCACCAGGCTGGCTTCCGGCATGGCGGCCCCTTGGGCGGTCAGGGTCACCAGGTCACGTGTCCCGTGACCTCACGTTTGGTAGGTCGTCCAGTACCCCGTAACATGGCAGAGCTCGCCAGTAATGCGCTGGTCATCCTTCCGACTCTACCACAGCTGGCTCCGCACGGTCACGGTCAGTTGGGTGACCGAACACGTGCCGAGCGCGATGACAGGGCCGAGATGCCGTCCGATGACTCGGTGCTTATTCATCCGCCGCCGTCATCAGCCATGTGGCACCGTATTGCTTAGTACTTGGCCGCGTTCAGAATATATTCGGGGTATATTCAAGATGCAATGGCTGATTAACTTGAGCTGATGCCTGTTTAGGTATGGCTGTTATCGAAAGTGGTCATTTATCTATGCCACTGCGTTGACCACACAACGCAGTTTTTGACACCTGCGAATGTTGCAGTTTTTTGACGCAACGGACTGGCTGACATGTCAGGACATATTTTGTTTGCGGGAGAGAAATAGCTCACTGATTTTGACATTGCGTTTCGTTCGATCATCCTTCTCATGTGGACGACACTAACCGTGTACACTGCAAAGCATACTCTTACAAAGTTTTAGCTTTTCTGACATTTCAGCGGGCAGCACTTAACCCTTGAGCTCACCGTCAAGAACGCTGGCTAGCTCAGCGCTGACTGACGACAGAACGACCGGACCCTAGCTGCTGCCATCTCCTGGGTGGGAGCCGGCAGAGGATAAGTCCTCGGGAGTCAGGCTTAACCATGGGCCTTCCACTTACATTGGCACATGAATTAACCAACTGCACCGCCGAGGTAGTCAGCGAGAGAAAACTTATGTTGTGAGATCTGCTGTTCGCCTGGGAATCTTCGTCATTTCCCAGCACACGCTCGCTGTCCGTCTCGCATTTGCGTTTCCTATTTACCGTAATCAACAGCCTACACAGAAACGATGGGAGTTAACATATAAAAGTAATGTAAATTCGCTGTGGCCTTATGGATTTCGCCACCTGAAACGCGTCCTTGCACCCATGTATGGCCATTCAACATGATATCAGGATGCGATCCGCCTCGGTTTTTTCCGTCAGATGCTCGTGCACGGGCTTGTTTTGCCTTGTCTTGCTTCGCGGCCTCCATCATATTTATCCCGTTATCTTGGTCACGGACGCCAGCAAGTAGCCTAAGCTGAGTTTGCAGTCGATGACGATTTAGATCTGTTCCACGGGAAGCATGCGCGGCGACTGTTTTTTATTATTATTTTTCCACCGGTTCAGGCAACTGGCTCTAAGCAGCGTTCACATGACTCACAACCGAAACTGGAAGCGTACTTCCCTGCCTATCACGCGAGTTACAATTAGGGTCGTAATTCCGCTCCTTGCATCCAGACAGTACCGTGAAGGTATTTTTTGTTGTTAGTGATGTGAAGGGATTTTTTTGTTGTACCGCACAGGGCTGCAATCTGGATCACAAGGCTGTGCGATGTACAACAGGAGTAGTCAACGAAAAATGACGCATTGACACATTTGTCTTCATTTGTAAGATAATCTGATTTGGCAAACAAACCATCAATTTCCACGGGCATCACCACATCTATGCAGAGTGGTGAGGAATAGAACCATGCTCAGAAGACAGGAAAAGACGCTGGGTAGACGAGCCCACTCACAGTGTTAGCGAGATGTTAAAATATACGCTATACAGTAGGGCTGGCTTGTTTTGTATGCGGTACGCATGTAAAGTGGGCTGCACAAGGGACGTATCTGGTTACCACGCCAGAGAAGTTAATGTGGCACTCGCCGACGCATGCGAATGCCATACTATATTCGAGACCCTGAAATTATGGAGGCACAGCCACTGAAAGCTCAACACGGTAATGGCGTCTTCGTCCAATTAGTTCTAATTCACATGCCAGCATAATGCAGCCTTGTCACCCTAAAAGCGTGCAGGCCAAGTCTGGCCGTTCGCCCCGACAAGTCAACGGACCGTGGCCACCTCCGTCGGTCCGCGCCGGTCTCCATGAATATGCTGAAGAATTCTCTCCTAAATCTGAGCTTTTCCTTACGATTTTGCTCACGTACTGAAAGCCAGTCGCTTAATCCCTGTGAACAGCATAAGGTTTCCGAAAACTGGCCTTTCCAGAGTCGCAAACTCTGTCATTGAGTGCAAAATGCGGCCAAACGGCTGAAATTACTCTCAGGGTGCCTGGTGTGGCATATGTGAGCAGATCGCTACCAAATTCCCTGACGCACGGCCATATTCAGTGAATTTCAACCGCCGTAGCATTGTCTGCTTAGCCTTTTCGCGGACGCAACGTAGCTATGCTGAGACATTACTGACACATGTTTCACACTCCGGCTCCAGCGAGTAATTTATGTGCAGTCCTTTAACACGAGCCTGGGTGGCCGGCGAGATACCCTTCGCCCGGGTGGGGTGGGGGTGGGGTTAATTTGCCCCCTCCCCCCTTAGATCTTGGTGAAAGCTAGAAAGACCAAATTTACAGAGTGTCTTGACCTGTACGAGAACTCACTTAGGTCAAAGTTTGAGCCTACTTAGTTATGACGTTCAGGTCAAAAACGGTCAAACAAGGTCAAATTCCATGTTGGTCTCTAAAGTACCCCCAGAACCTGGGCAGCTGTTTCTAAGCAAAAGGTTACAAGCCTATTTTAGGCCAGTGACCTTGTCTGACCTTTTGAAGGTCATGTTGACCAAAATCATGCAAGACTGCTCAGAGTTTTGCATTTGAATAAGCGACAAATATTACGCTCGGCAGTATGTTCCCAAAACGAAATGTCGGCCCGGGTCATCTTAGGCGAATGACCTGTTCTGACCTCTAAGAAGTCAATGGAAGATGTGTAATGCGGTTCCTGTTGTCAACAAATTCAAAATAAGCACCACAAACTATCCCATGCAGCAAGCCATAGACAAATAAATCAGGCTGGTTTTGACCTTTGTCCGACCTTCATACCTGACCTTACGTCAACGTAATTTGCTCATTCAATATTGGTGGTGCCTAAGAAAGCATCTCAGAGATGTATGGCCTCGTCAAACACTCCGTCATTGTATCAGATTGGACGATTCCCTGGAAATCGCCTTCGCTGAAACTATGGCCTGGCTTTGGCCTGCAATAGGTCAGCGACCTTACAAGATACACCTAAATTTTTATGTCAAACGATCCGCTATTCAATTGTCTACAGCTATGCAAAATCTGACGCGGCGTAGCCGCGCCATTCGGAAACCATTCTGGAAAAACCTTCGGGTGGAGGGGGGGGGGGGGGGTCACTTCGACCCCTCACCGGAGTACGTAGTTATGCACGAGCATCAGGCACGAATAAAAGTGGCCGAGACTGTACTGGCTAGCTGTACTCAAATGGCTCCGGAAGGAGCTGCTCGTGGAGCGTGACGTCCGCACCATACACAAATAGCGCACGTCAACAGTGCCCTCGAGTCGCTCTGTCAACTGATCAACAGCCGCCCCGGCGTATCCTCCCGTCCCACGAGGACAGCAGTAACCCGCCACCTCCACATCCCACGCATGCGGGCAGGGTTTGGCTGGCACCCATTCTTGAGCCGCACAAAGTGAGCGTGGGACGGGCTGCCCACGGATGTGAATTTTTCGCCGAGCACAACCATTTTTAAGCCCAGGCTGGCTAAAAGCCGGTGATATACGTGTCATGGTGAAGTGTGCTTTGGCTGGCTTAATTCTTAGGGTATGTTGTGTTCGTATGTGTCGCGTACTTTAACATATGTCACTGACGTGCAGAACACTGAAAGTTCATGTTGTGGTTGTTTCCGAAATGCATGA